ATTTAGGGTTTAGGGTTTAGCGTTGAGATATTTCTAGGGTTTAGGGTTTTTTATGATTTAAACTTTGCTGCCTTTTAGGGTTTTTTAGGGTTTAGGGTTTTAGTAGCTGCTGGTTGCACGCCAACGAGCACCGCCTGGTTTCCGCGGTGTACAGACAGCTAGAAGTGTCTATAATGCAGCAAATCAGAAATAAATAAAACAGAAAATTAAATAAATTAAATTAAGTAGTGTCGAAGGAATGCAATGCAAGGGGGGGGGTGGGGGGAAGAGAACGACGGGCTCGTGACCACTGGTCACGGCCAGGCCGCAGCTGTAGAGAGAGGGAAAAAACACCAGCTTTCAAGTAATATTTTTATTAATACCTTCTAAATGCAAAAGAAAATAAAGAGAAGGTGAGAACTGTATTTGTCTTTCTTCTGCTCACGGGCTTCAGCAGACTAGAACCATGTGCACGGTATACAATACATGGCGTGCATGATGTACAGAGAAATGCATAAACGCAGAAATAAATAAATAAATAAATAAATAAATAAAATAACAGCAAGAAGTGAGCAGCAAAGAGTTAAATTTGGATTGCTTACCTTTATTTTCTCTCCTTTTTCTATGGCTTCGTGGTGCTTTCCTTTTTCCGCTGTGCTCGATTGCATGCACGATGCAGAAAGTGCAGGCACCGATCAGTGCGGTTGCAGCTTTTTGTGAGAAAAAAAGAAAACAAAACAAAAATCAATTGTATAAATATTAATATATTTTATAAAGAATACAATAATAAAACACAAAAACATATAGATCATTCACGTTTGTTTCGGCTTAGTTTGTTGCGGTGTATGTGCAGCTCAGGTTTCTGCAGATTCATGAATTTCAGAAACCACGCAGCACTGAGCGATGAAACTTTAAGTGGAAAAGAGAGAAAAATAAAAAGTTATGTTGCGATCTTTGTGTTTTTTATGTTTATTTTTTGCAAATGTTTCTTTTTATTCAAAAGGAATTTCTTCTAGAGCTCGAGCTCCCCCAGCAATGTTGCAGAATTTGCTTATGTCGATGGTGGGCCGAACACCATATGTAACCGAGAACGCCGACGATGCAAGAACAACGCAGAGTCCAATGATGTGTGTTTTCTTTTTAGTTTTTAAATACTAAATAAAGTTTTTATTGAAAATTTATTTCTTCATTCAAATTTATAACGTTAAATTCAACTTTTTTCTCTCGTTAAGCTCTATTCATCTCGTCAAGGCGAGGGAAACCAATACGCTTCCTTCTCCTTTCTATCGTCCGTATGAAGGTAAACATGAATATGCATATGCATGCATGCATGCATGCATGCATGCATGCATTCATGAATTTTGTTTTTTATTTTATTTTATTATTATTTCTTGTTTAATTGCATTTCTTCTGAACCAAACAGAGTCCATACAAGAAGGTACATCATCACCACGACGCAGCACCATGGTTCCGTCTTCGTCGTATTTCCCTTTTCTTTTATATACAAAAAGAAATTAAAAAAAAATAAATAAAAGTTTTAATAAATTAAAGTTTTCTTTCTCTCAATCCACCAGAAATTGATGAAATAGATCACAAACTCAGCCAAGTGAGACGGCATACATACAATACATGTATATAAAATATATTTTTTATTTATTATTTTTTAAATAAATAATAAACAATAAAATATATTTA